CAGGCTGTTTTGTCTTTGTCACCCTCTTCCTGCTGAGAGGTAACAGAGTTTGCCTTCTGCTAACAGGGAGAGAGGTTGGCCTCATGGCATCAGAAGAAACGGCCTAGCAGTGGTGGGAAAGGCTCATTTGGGTGAACTGCATCACAAGCAAGCTTCATGTCACTTATTCTGTGCCTCCTCGTAGCTGCCATGTAAAAGGTGCCCAATTCGTGCATGGTTCGTTGATGAACCAGCAGCCTCTTCAAGACCCTGGTCACCTCGGCTTGGCAGACAATACACAGTTCCAGAATTTCTGTAAAGAAGGGGCTCAAAAGTGGCCCTCCGGTTGGAAGGGAAGCCAGCAGGCTGTCTTAAAGTAAACCATGTTTGCCTACTAAGCATACTGCTTTGTTCGCAATGGCCTGGATGCTGGAGATTATGAGGGAACTAAAATCTCTTCAAGCTTCCCTGGACACTGCCACAGCCTCCCCACGCTCCTTCTCCCATTATTCTCTGTTAGTTCACCCTGTTCTTTTCCTCTTTGACTCACAGAATTTATAATTTTACATTTATTTGCTTGTTTCTTTCTTGTCTTTTCTTCTCCATAGCTGTACATGCCATAATAACAGAGATCACGGCTGTATTAGTCACCAGTGTGGCTCCAGTGCTTAATAGTGTCTGGCACACACTACGTTCTCAATAAATACCTCTTGAATAAATAAACAAATGAATTCTGTAGTGGTTTATTATATGCACAAGTCAACAACGAGTTGGGTGATACGAAAAGAAGAGGGACTTGCTTCTTTCTGAAGCACTTGGCTTTTTAAAAATTTTTAACTGACAAAAATGTATATATTTGTCAAATACAACATGATGTTTTGAAGTATGTACACATTGGGAAACGGTTCTATCGAGCTAATTAACATGGATTACCTCACATACTTATCATTTTTATATAGTGAAAACACTTAAAATCTACTCTCAGCAATTTTTAAGAACACTATGCATTGTTATTAACTATAGTCACCATGTTGTACGGTAGATCTCTTCAACTTCTTATTCTTATCCAACTGAAGTTTTGTGTCCTTTGACAACTCCCCAACCAACCCCCTGCCAAACGCCTGGCTTTGAGGTAGGTGTTTTGAGACAACCAGGGATATTTCCAACCAGGCCTCAGCCACAGCTCACTTCTGCAGGGACTTTATGAAAAGGGCTCATAAGAAAAGAAAGAAAAGGCTGTTCTTCTGAGAGCCTCTTCTGCTCTGGACACGGCCCCGGGCCAGGTAACTGAGACCTGCTCTCAGTCCTCACAGTATAGGGTCTGGCACTCTGCCAGCAGTCTTCTGCACAGAAGGTGCAGACCTTTCTCGAAAAAGAAGGAAACTCCTCCATCACTCTTTCTCAAAAAGCCCTGGTTGCCCTCTGTTGAGGGCACTTTAGTCACAGTTTGAATCAAATTCAGGAAAGAAATGAGAAACACAGAAGCTTTCTGCAAGGGAGGTTTTCCTGAGGGTGTGTTCAGCCGTCTGTTTTCCCATCAGTACCAGCCGGAGCCCTGGAGTTTATTTAAGTTCTTATTAAGGAAAAGAGCTGGCATTCTAGCATAGCTTGGCCGACTCACTGGTTTCCACTCAGGACTCAAGGGTGGGGTGGGACATGGGACGTTTTGGCGCAGTTCCTTCCTGAATTCAGTCTGTCTCCTGCTCTGGTCTGTCTTTCATCTGGCATCTTTCTCTTTCATCTTTCACATTAACATCTGCCCCAGCACCTACACATACACATATACAGTTACCCAGGAGACCTGAGTCACCTTCACGGGAGCCACAGCAGCTGTATCTTCAGCAATTTAGGGGTTCTTAAGTAACAAAGTTTCCGGAATACATAATCTGTATGTGTGCGTGTGTACATAAAACTCTACTACTCCAATAAACAATTAAACTCACTCTGCTTTGTTTTCTGCAAATCTCATGAGAGACAATCCACCCCTTCCCCTGAACACAAACTGTTCCTCTCCCCGTCCCAGGGGCATTGGATTAAGGCCCCTGTGACAGGCATAAATGACATCACCAGTTCATCACTGCTGCTTTATTTTCCCTTTCTTTATACAACCAATTACCATTTTCATGTAATTTGCTCGTGGTTTTTTCCTAATTATTTCAAAAATTCCTTCTTTTTAATTTTTTGGTGGCTGGTCAGTTCAGGGACACTTTTTCTTTTTCTTTTCTTTTCTTTCTTTCTTTTTTTTTTTTTTTTTTTTTTTTTTTTTTTTTTTTTTTTTTTTTTTTTTTTTTTAAAA